CACAAAGTACATTCGACGAGCCTTTGGCCTGGCCAACAGAGGAATAGATTGCGGTCTGATCTACTGAAACATCATTTCTGTTAGAGTAGACATGTGGATTTCAGTCTTATAGTGTAAGAAATCATGGTGCACCAGGAAGTATTCAGGACAAGGTTCCTCTCTGGTGAACCAGCTTCCATCCCTGAGGAAGACATCCTGTCTAGTTGGGGTTAAGCCTGGTTCATGCTTCTACGTCAGCTCCGCAAGCGACAGACACGCACGGATTGACGGAAGCGTTTTGCTCTCATACTTCTCCGTCTCCTGGAGAGTGTTGCAAAGCAATTGCCCGGCAGGACCACAGAGGGCGTAGTGCTGTTCTGTGGTATCCTGTCATGTATCGGTCCAGGATAGTGTGTTTATATTGTGTGTTTTGTTTATATAAGAGACTTTTAACACGGACATATTTGTCTCTCATTCTCCCACCGCTTCATGCGCTCTCCACCTCTAAACCCACGTTTCCTGTCATTTCCGTCCACAAATAAAACGCTTGCTGCGCATCTTTTCACTCCTCCAGTCACGGGAGAATTAAACGTTCATATTTTTAGAGTTTTTTCGCGAGGTATTCTTCAAGCTTCTCCGTGTCTGTCGCTAGTTATCCTCGGCTCTCTTTGCAATGGCAGCGCTGTAAACAACAGAGGCGTCCTGACCAATCACAAGCTTGCGTAATCCGTCTGGTTCGACGTATGTTTAAAAAAGTGGGCTCGACTCCGTACGTACTTGCGTGCCTGCCGGAGCCCTACGCAAGGACATTGCGTGTCTCCGCACTGACGCAGACGGAGAAGCATAAACCAGGCTTTAGCCTGACTCATCCCTTTAGTTATGTGCTGTAGACTCAGACCACATCTCCTCACCCTGTTGGTTTTACTCTCTGGTTTGCTGGCATGATGCGTCTTATGAAAGTGACCCATGTTTGTATTTACTAATGCTACTGCCATTAAGTTTGTAGTTTTCAAATAGGTGTTCTAGGGAGACTCTTGTACGTGCATTACAGCTATTGGCATTACTCTTACTTTCACTTCCAGGCTCTACCAGGATGCCAACAGAAAGTTTAAGTCACACACTAAGCATTTGACCCATCCCTGTGTGGTGCGGCACAGTGCAGTAGTGAAGCAGGGAGGCCTTGACTCCCATTTTTAAAGTCTTTGGTATGACCTGACTGGATCTGAATCCCGATCTCCCGGTCCCAGGGTGGACACACTCTACCATTAGGCCAAACTGAAAGAGCTAACAGCGGTAATGTATGTATAAGAGCACCCCGTAGAACAACCCGCTGTTCTTTCATCCATCTGATGAGGCTCTCTGTGCTTGTAAAATAATGAACGAGTATTTAATTAAAATGTATTTTATTTAACATTTTTATCTGTATGCCAATTCTAAATGTAAAGATTGTTTGCGTAAATCTGAACAGGTCACCTGCTTGTACTTAATCAAATGTCTCTAAAGGAGCTTTCCGCGCTGAAGAGGAAATGAGGTCCAGGGATCTCATTTATCAAACGTTGCGTAGAATCCTCACTAAAACCGTACTTAAGCTCAGCAAAAAAAATGTACTTACGCCAAGCAGGTTTGTGAGCTATCAAACATGGAGTACGCACAGCTGCACGCAAGTCTCCGCTTCATAAATCAGAAACTATCTAGAAAGGTTCTCAGCTGCTTTTTAGTCACATCCCGCCCTCACCACGCCCACTTACTGCCACAAATAGTCAATGCAAAGTGCCTTGTGGATCTCATGCATATACATAAGCCGGCTGTTGCAGCGCTCTGCCAATGACATGGCGACTGTAGATCAAGGCAGATCAAGGAAGCGCTATTTCACAAGCAGAAATTCAGGTACTTGTGGGTGAAGTGGAAAAATGAAAGGAAGTGCTTTTGCAAAACAAATAAGGGAAAATCCACGGAGTGGCACAGCGTTGCTGAAGCCGTCAATGTTGTGAATTCTTCAGAGAGATCTGTGGCGGATATTAAAAAAAATGGTCCAATCAGGTTTCTCCAGACTCCCGGGTGAAAGTCACACGCACTAACCAGTCAGCCAAACAGAGATCCCCCTTGTCCAAGTAGCCAGGGCGCATGATCAATCGGGTCACAGTGACAGGACACACACTGTCACAGACGCATGACGTTCTGTCTCAATCTGTCCCCCTGCTGATATTCCGCATTGTTACGAGCCCCGAGTTCCCCAGCGCCCGGCTTCTACTCCGCTCCGTTTCAGCACCATGGTCAGCACCCTGGAGAGCACCCAGCCACACTCAGGCAGCTGATTCACGTCAGGAAATCCCCCGGCTGGAGCAGATAAAATCACCGCTGCACTGAATGAAAAGGAGGACTGAAGGAGAGGACAGGAGAGGATTATTGAGAGAGACACTTGTGTTTGGGAACTTTAGAATTCATAGTTGCCCCCGGATGGTTTAAGTTTCCATCTGCATGGGAAAACCTTCAGGTTTTGAGACTTGGTTGTCCCTTGCTCTTGACTGAGCTTTTGGTTGTGTGGGTGAGTTAGTTCACCAGTGGACTTTTTGGGTAAGGCCTTCAGGCAAGCTTCTTTTGTTCTTGGTTTTCCTTTTTGGAACCAGAGAGTTTTAGTTCTCATTCTGGTGCTCTTTAAGTTACTAAAGTCCTCAGTTTTGTTTCCGCTGCTTAGATTAAATCCCTTTGTTTTATTACCCAGGTTTTCTCCCTTAGGGACCCTTTTTGTTAATAAAATTACTTGTTTGGTTGTGACTTAGTGTCAGAACGTCTATTATTCATGCTCATGTTTCTGTGTTAGGCCTCCCAGGATCCAAGACCAGGTTGAGGTCGTAACACGCATTCCGTATTCTGCGCTTCAGGCTGTGTGTGTGCACATGTGTGTGTGTGTGTGTGGGGGGGGGTTCTTGTTCTGTGTGAAAACGAAGCAGTAAAAGTGATAATGGTGCAGGATTTCATACTTGTATCCTTCTCAGCAGCAGCACTGCAGGTGCTCTCCATGTCCAAAATGTCCGTAAGCCAGGTCCTTAGTCAACTTAAAGTTGCACACATTTTCCCGCTAAGTTTTCTTTCATAAATCCCAAAGTCTGTGTGGAAAGTTGCTTACGCAGTTTTCCGACCCCGTATTGTGCGTAAGCAAGCTTGATAAATGAGGCCTCTGGACTTTTGCCTCAGACGGCTCATGGATGCATCGCCACATTGGAGGCAGGAACAAAGTTCCACAATCAGGGAACATTTTCTAAGTGGCAAGTCTCTCTCAGAGACGGGGTTTGGAAAACACTCGCTTCAGTGGGAGGGATCTTCCCGCATGCGCTCTGGTTCTGCGACGCACTCCAAGCCCCAATCTACACATCTTCAGCTCGCTGTGCACCTTACGTGTGCGCTGACAGCGAGCTGCACAGAGCAGTGTCCAGCTCAGATGTTCTGATGGGAATCTATTCATGACTGATGTAGCTACCTCCGCGATGTGCGTAACGATTAAAATGCCAGCGCATCTGCATGCGTCAGGGTAATTCTTTCTCCGTCAAAACAAACGGTCTAATACCGGAAACATCCGGGCAATGCGAACCCTGCCATTTAACTTTTTTGCCTTCTTGTGAAGATTGTTGCAAAGAGAAAAAAAATTAAACTTGATTAACACCAGAGCCGTTATCACTGGGAAGTCCGGCTCTTTTTAGAGAGCCGGTTCTTTTGGCTCCCAAGTGGCTCCTCAGATTTTCTGTTGCCTAGAGCACATTTATAACAAAAATGATGCTCAACTATATGTAAAATTATTTACTAATGTAAAAAATCCAATATATCAAATATTTATCATTTATATGGATTTATTTACTGAACACTTTAAGAAATATCAACTTTCCGACTGCTGTCGCTCATTTTCTCACCGTCTTCGTCGCACTCTCCTCTCTCTCTCACCTTTTTCCTCCTCCTCATTCCCTCTCGTCTCCCTCCGCCTGAATGTGCTCTGCTGTGTCTGAGTCTGATACTCCCTCTTCCTCGCCCCTACTGTTCTGTGTGGACAGTCTGGACACGCAGTTACACATGTTGACCAATCGCCTGTGGCTTTCACCAAAACAAGACGGGAGGGGGTGACGGCTCCCAACGACGAGCCGGCTCTTACAGCCAGTTCGTTCGCGACCGACACATCACTACACTGTAAATGAGGGAAAATAAAGAATTAATCAAATCCTTTTCAACATTGTTTAACGTAAAGTTTAATTTTGTACAAATCTCAACTGCAACAATCCACAGAGCCTGGATTAGTATTCTGAACAGTTTAAAGGAGACGTGTGACGCATCAAAAAGCCACGTGTTCAACTTTTAAAACCCCTAACTGGGTGAAAAATATCAAAATATTGTAGGCACAGACGCGCTTCAACTTCTGTATCCACTGTGTACAAATTGTTTTATTATTTATCTTCTGTTGAAAGATTCCTTTGATGTACATGAGCGACCGGTACTGGTTGCCATCATTTGTGATCGGTTAAAGCAGCTCTCGGCTGGGGTGGGCCCAGGCCCTTTAGGCCCACCCACAACGCCGCAGCTGCTGCGGCTCCCAGTGTTCTCTTTACTGCGGGAAACGGGTAATAATAGCTCTTTGATGGGAAAAAGGTTGCCGACCCCTGCCCTAGAACTATCCCCTCCACAAAACTGTATCTGGCCAGCAAAGGGCTGCAGAGTGGTATCAAATGTGAAACTGGTCGAGTTCCTAACCCAACAATCACTGAGCTCAAAGTCCAAGCTCTAGCGTGATGTTTAAAAAACTATTTTGTGTTACTTTAAACACTTTGACTCATTGACTGAATGTGGCAGCTGCACTTTCATAAATAAAAAACATCACTTTGCTATTTAAATCACGTTTTCAACACAAGTATAAGAAGTTACTTGTCTGACAAAATCACAGCAGCGGTTATTCTCCAGCAGGGGGAGCTGTACACCACCATGAGAACACCAGCAGCTGTTTATCACATTTTTGAAATTCAGAAGCAAAGAGTAGAAAATCGGTGTAAATATTCTTTATGTGAAAATACATATTTTATTTGTGCTTTAAACACGGATAGAAAACAGATAAAAAAACACATTGGAAACGGGTCTCGGGTCATAACCTGATCAGCTGACACATTGCTCCTGTTTAGCATCGAATTTCAACACTTATGGCTTCATGCATGTAATACTATGACAAATAATAGTTTCTGTTTCCCTTCAAATACATCTGAATCTTAACGTCCGCCCATGCCGAACACTGGGTTTTCAAAGCTTCTAGCCTGGGATTCATCGATCTCGGCAAAATCTTCAGGGTCGATATCCGCCTCAAACATCCGCTGCAGCAGAGCGTCTACCGTCCGGTATCCTGGCACACGACAAGTCAATACAGGGTCAGCAAGCTCAAAAAGCCTTCCTGTGTTTGTAATTAAACATGTTTAAAAACACACACAGCTGAGAGAAACAGCAGCTCCACTTAATTAATCCTCATTTAATAAAATATAGAATTAAAGTCTGTTCTTTAAAACCAAACATTCCATCTGATGTTCTTTAAAAAGCACGTAATACTTTCCGCAGCATGGATCTGACTGGTAATAACTTACTCTTTGAAGCGATTTTAAACATCAGGTTTGGTTTGGTCGCCTGTCCGGTTGTCAGGTCGTTGACGATGGTTTCCATGGCATTCACCAAGTTGTCGTCCACTTTCTCCCTGATTAGAGCAAAACCAGTGTTCAAAAGTCCCACACCAAACCAAGTCCACCACTAGCAAGTAACAAAACATTCAAACAACTGGAAAGTGTGTGGAGCTAAATAACATCAGGCACAGTAAACTGAAACGACAAGCAGGTGGTGGGAAAACAAAACGACCTACAGGCTGATGGGTGATAAAGGGAATATATCAGAAATGTCAAAAACTTCCCAAACTGCCAAAAAACACAACACTATAACAGGGTATCTGCAGGTTTAAGGGAGCCAAATTTAAGACTTTTTAAGACCTTTTTTAAGGCCACTTTGACCAAATTCAAGCAACTTTTTTAAATTTGATTTAAGCTATAATTCCCAGCTATTGCCTGGAGCCGGTGCTAACCACGTCGCGAACGTGGGATTAGCCATCCAGTTACCATTAAACTTGCACTTCCCCATGGCACAAGCTCCCACTAGCTTAACCAGCTAATGTGCTCATCTAAAAAGAGCCCCCTTTCACAACCAACTGAATGTGTACGGTTCCGCTTACGCCAACATCATACACAAAAAATGCTGAACACTAACTAGAAATTCACGAAAATTTTATAGAGATAAAAGAATCTTGTTTATTGGGTCTTTGGTAATTTAAGACCTTTGGAAACTGGATTTAAGGATTATTTGTCATTTTTAAGGATTTTCAAGGCCTTAAATTTGGAAAAGCAAATTTAAGACTTTTTAAGACTTTTTAAGGACCCGTGGATACCCTCTATAATAATCTTGTAAGCCATTTTATATAACTGCAAAATTTAGCTGCATTTTAAATGAAATGATCCGGAAAAAGCTCATTACTTATAAACCAGTTTCCACAACATGGGTCTCCAACCACAGGTCTCAGGCCTAGTCCACATGTAGCCGTTTTTAAAAAAAACGAATATCCACCCCTCCAAAAACTTGCATCCACACCACCTCGTTTTAAAAAAAAAACTCTGTCCACACGACACGTACCCGGATAAATACGTTGTTAAGGACATGCCAGACCTGTAGGCGGCAGTGCTTCCCCCGTTCTTAACCTCGTCCTTCGTCTGTGGTCTTCCGCAAGGAGCAGTAATTCCGCTTGCAAAAACAAACAAGCAGAAAGCGCTTGGACAATTGATAAAGCGAGCGCAGCTCTGAGGGCATCCATGCTGTCGGCTAGTGTAAACACAGGTCGCACACGTGATGTCAGCATTTTTTTGTCGCGGAAAGTGACGTTGCGGACCTTAAAACTCCGGTTTTGTCTGTCCACACGCAGACACCCAAAACGGAGAAAACACAGATGTTCACTTTGGCCGGAGTTTTTAAAAAGATCCGTTTTCGTGTGAAAAAACTCCGTTTTCGTGTGGATGACAGGCCAAAACGTAGAAAAATATCTACGTTTTGGCAGATCCCCGGCTACGTGTGGACAGGGCCTCAGAAACATAGCACACTGGTCTGCAAGGCATTTTATTTTGAAAAAACTCCACACCTCTCATTCTTTATTTTACAGAGTAAAAATAATGATTATTTAAACTGAGGAATTGTTGTATCAACGCTTCTCAGCAATAAATTGAACACCAATGGAAACCCTGATTAGTCCAAACCTCCTCCGATATCACTCCTGTCAGTTTTCATTCATCTTCTGAGTTCCAAGTGTTTCAGTTCCAGGTGTGTGACTGGAACCTGACTAGCAACTCGTTGACAGCATGGAAGGACCAACACCATCACACTGGCTGACCTAGTGCTGCTGGTGCACCTCCTGGAGGAGTAACGGGATGCCATTCCCCAGCAGCATGAGGAGGAGGAGCCAAGATGGTGACCACTGGGCCGACCATTTGTGCTGTGGCTTTTGTTTTTCTTTGAACCATACGAGTCACTAGTCAAAAGCGACTAGTCAGGTTTACAACAAAATAAGACGTGTTTGCTAAGAAGCGTTTGTTAAAACAGACAGGGTTAAGTTGCAACAACAGACTAACTCATCATTTTCTAAACGCAATATGAAGAGATACAGGTTGTTGTCGTCTGATGTGTGGATGTTACGGCCCAGGGCAGAGAGAGAGAGAGAGAGAGAGAGAGAGAGAGAGAGAGAGAGAGAGAGAGAGAGAGAGAGAGAGAGAGAGAGAGAGAGCGAGAGCGAGAGAGAGAGCGAGAGCGCGAGAGCGAGAGAGAGAGAGAGAGAGAGAGAGATTTTCAGTGTAAAGGAAACTTTACACTTTGCTTTGAATAAGACATCACTCAGTTAAGGAAGTTATGCGATGGTCTTTCGAAGTTTTGGTACTGATTTGGTTAATGAGAGGGTTTAGTCGTTATTAGTTTTGAGTTGCTGCTGATGTGTCTTTTTGATAATGTGTGTTTTGTGTTATACAGGTCCTTCTCAAAAAATTAGCATATCATGAAAAGTTTCTCTAAACAAGCTATTAACCTAATCATGTGAATCAACTAATTAACTCTAAACACCTGCAAAAGATTCCTGAGTCTTTTAAAAACTCCCAGCCTGGTTCATTACTCAAAACCGCAATCATGGGTAAGACTGCCGACCTAACAGTTGTCCAGAAGGCCATCATTGACACCCTCAAGCAAGAGGGTAAGACACAGAAAAAAATTTCTGAACGAATAGGCTGTTCCCAGAGTGCTGTATCAAGACACCTCAGTGGGAAGTCTGTGGGAAGGAAAAAGTGTGGCAGAAAACGCTGCAAAATGAGAAGAGGTGACCGGACCCTGAGGAAGATTGTGGAGAAGGACCGATTCCAGACCTTGGGGGACCTGCGGAAGCAGTGGACTGAGTCTGGAGTAGAAACATCCAGAGCCACCGTGTACAGGCGTGTGCAGGAAATGGGCTACAGGTGCCGCATTCCCAGGTCAAACCACTTTTGAACCAGAAACAGCGGCAGAAGCGCCTGACCTGGGCTACAGAGAAGCAGCACTGGACTGTTGCTAAGTGGTCCAAAGTACTTTTTTCAGATGAAAGCAAATTTTGCATGTCATTCAGAAATCAAGGTGCCAGAGTCAGAGGAAGACTGGGCAGAGGGAAATGCCAAAATGCCTGAAGTCCAGTGTCAAGTACCCACAGTCAGTGATGGTCTGAGGTGCCATGTCAGCTGCTGGTGTTGGTCCACTGTGTTTTATCAAGGGCAGGGTCAATGCAGCTGCAGTGAGGAACATAAGTATTTGAACACCTTGCGATTTTTCAAGTTCTCCCACTTAGAAATCATGGAGGGGTCTGAAATTCACATTCTAGGTGCATTCCCACTGTGAGAGACAGAATGTAAAAAAAAAATAAAAATCAGGAAATCACATTGTATGATTTGTAAAGGTTTCATTTGCTTTGCACTGCTGCACATAAGTATTAGAACACCTGGCAATCAGCAAGAATTCTGGCTCTCAAAGACCTGTTACTCTGCCTTTAACCCCCAAATTCCACTACCTTCGCTCCGCTCCGGCACGAACTCCGGAGCAAAATCGGTCCCGTTGTAGTCAATCAGAGCAATGCCACTAATGCGGCCGTGCTCCGGCAGTGCGGCGCCGTGCGCCGCCCTCTGTTCCAGCAAAAATAGAATCGATCCTATTTTTGCCGGACGCCGGAGCACCTGAGCAGTCAATGGACAGAAATCACAACCGCCCAACAGGAAAAGGAGCAAGCACAACTTCCGTTTTTCACAATAAATCGATAAACAAATAGTGTTTTTTGTTTAGGTTTAACAACTTTTAACAACTATCAATGGCGGCTGAACTTTAAATGCACAAAAGTGAGCCATAAATACAGTTTCCACTATCAAAGTAGTCACACTTTGTTGATCCAAACACTGCTGATCTCTCAACACAAATGATGGGCAGATTAAACAGCTCATGCCGATGCTTCTCCCACACAACGGGTGTTTGGATATAACTTCCGCGTTTATTGCTCGGACTGTATCGCAAGATCTCGAAAATCCCGCGCATGCTTGTTTGCGCACCTCAGGTCTCCGCACCGGAGCAGAGCCGTTGTAGAGCGGGTACCAGTAAAAATTGAGTTCGGAAGCGAGCGGCTGCGGAAGTCGGGGGCGGAGCGGAGCGGAGGTAGTGGAATTTGGGGGTTAGAAGTCCACCTCTACTCCACTTAGTATTCTTAATTAGTAGCACCTGTCTGAGCTCTTTAAAGACATCTATCCACCCCACAGTCAGTCAGACTCCAACTACTACCATGGACAAGACCAAGGAGCTGTCAAAAGAAACCAGAGACAAAATCGTGGACCTCCACTAGACTGGAAAGGGCTACGGGGAAATTGCCAAGCAGCTTAGTGAAAATTGATCAACTGTTGGAGCAACTGTCAGAAAATGGAAGAGGCTAAAGACGACTGTCAGTCTCCCTCAGACTGGGGCTCCATGCAAGATCTCTTCTCGTGGGGTATCACTATGATAAGAAAGGTGAAGAATCAGCCCAGAACTACACGGGAGGAGCTGGTCAATGACTTGAAGAGAGCTGGGACCACAGTTTCAAAGGTCACTGTTGGTAGAACACTTTGCCGTCATGGTTTCAAATCATGCATTGCACAAAAGGTTCCCCTGCTCAAGTCATACCATGTCCAGGCCCGTCTGCAGTTTGCCAAGGACCATCTGGATGGTCCAGAGGAGGCATGGGAGACAGTCATGTGGTCAGATGAGATCAAAGTACAACTTTTTGGTCTAAACTTCATTCGCCGTGCTTGGAGGAAAAAGAAAGAGGAGTTGCACCCTACTGTGAAGCATGGGGGTAGAAACATCATGCTTTGGGGGTGCTTTCCTGCGAAGGGGACAGGACGACTGCACTGTATCAAGAAAAGGATGAATGGGGCCATGTATTGTGACATTTTGAGCAACAACCTCCTTCCCTCAGTCAGAGCATTGAAGATGGGTCGTGGCTGGGTCTTCCAACATGACAATGACCCGAAGCACAACGCCAGGATAACCAAGGAGTGACTCCATAAGAAGCATATCAAGGTTCTGGAGGGGCCTAGCCAGTCTCCAGAACTAAATCCAATTGAAAATCTTTGGAGGGAGCTGAAACTCCGTGTTGCTCAGCACCAGCCCCAGAACCTGACAGACCTAGAGACGATCTGTGTGGAGGAGTGGGCCAACATCCCTGTTGCAGTATGTGCAAACCTGGTCAAGAACTACAGGAAATGTTTGAGCTCTGTAATTGCAAACAAAGGCTTCTGTACCAAGTATTAATACTGATTTTCTCAGGTGTTCAAATACTTATGTGCAGCAGTGCAAAACAAATAAATTCTTTACAAATCATACAATGTGATTTCCTGATTTTTTTTTAACATTCTGTCTCTCACAGTGGGGATGCACCTACAATGTGAATTTCAAACCCCTCCATGATTTCTAAGTGGGAGAACTTGCAAAATCGCAAGGTGTTCAAATACTTATGTTCCTCACTGCAGCTATCAGGAGATTTTGGAGTACTTCATGCTTCCATCTGCTGAAAAGCTTTATGGAGATGAAGATTTCATATTTCAGCACGGCCTGGCACCTGCTCACAGTGCCAAAACCACAGCTAAATGGTTTACTGACCATGGTATTACTGTGCTCAATTGGCCTTCCAACTCTCCTGACCTGAACCCCGTAGAGACTCTGTGGGATATTGTGAAGAGAAAGTTGAGAGATGCAAGACCCAACACTCTGGATGAGCTTAAGGCCGCTATCGAAGCATCCTGGGCCTCCCTAACACCTCAGCAGTGCCACAGGCTGATAGCCTCCATGCCACGCCGCATTGAAGCAGTCATTTCTGCAAAAGGATTCCCGACCAAGTATTGAGGTCATAACTGAACATAATTATTTGAAGTGTAATAATCTGATTATTTGGTAATCAGGATATTTTCTTTTTTCGTAGTCATAAATGATAATGACCCGCACTTGTATAGCGCCCATCAGAGTAAGGACTCCAAAGCACTTTACACTACAGTGTATCATTCATCCATTCACACACACATTCACACACTGATGGGGATGAGCTACAATGTAGCCACAGCTGCCCTGGGGCGCACTGACAGAGGCGAGGCTGCCGAGCACAGGCGCCACCAGTCCCTCCGACCACCACCAGCAGGCAAGGTGGGTTAAGTGTCTTGCCCAGGGACACAACAGCAGAATTCTCTGTCCGGAGCCGGGATCGAACCTGCAACCTTCCGATTACTGGATAACCCGCTCAACCTGTTGAGCTACTGCTGCCCCGATATGCAATATGCAACAGATTTTCTTAATTAATATGCTCTGAAGCATTGACTACATTTCATTTTGTTATTAGATCATTTCATTGCTCTACAGAAAGATTAAAAATGGGAAAAAGAAACTAGGAAATCCATGTGATTATTTTATGATTGTAAGCTGAAACCCAGGTGTTTAATTTTTGGCTGATTTATGATTTTCGCGAGAAGTGGGCCAAGGGGAGAGCGAGAGGAGAGAGGGAAGACGCACAAAGGAGGGTAGTCGGATGGCCACGCACCGAGACCGAAGGAGCTTGAGGAGAACTTAAAAAAAACGGCTGGGTGCTGAGTCTTATCCAGCCTGGATGATTGATCATCCTAGGGGCGACGGTGGCACAGGAGTTAAGTGCTCGCCTTGCAATCGGAAGGTTGCAGGTTCGAGCCCCGCTCAGTCTGTCGCTGTCGTTGTGTCCTTGGGCAAGACACTTAACCCACGTTGCCTGCTGGTGGTGGTCGGAGGGACGGGTGGCGCCAGTGCTCGGCAGCCTTGCCTCTGTCAGTGCGCCCCAGGGCAGCTGTGGCTATATCGTAGCTCATCCCCACCAGTGTGTGAATGTGTGTGTGAATGGGTGAATGACTGGTTGTGTTGTAAAGCGCCTTGGGGGGTCCCAGGTCTCTAGAAGGCGCTATATCAAATACAGGCCATTTACCATTTACCATTGTTCTTTACGCCAGAGGATCGCAGAAGAGTTCGTGGCCGATGTAAGTGGTGGAGGAGCGAGTTTTAACTGGTTTCAGTGGCGGTCGGAGGAGCTAAGCGACACTATAGTTCCGCTGCAGCTGTCGGACGATTTGCTTCGTGGAGAGCAGCACGGGAGGAGTGTGACGCACGGATCCAGCCACTCACCTGCATCGTGGGAAGAGTCAGGGGAGTTGGGACCTGGTGCTGTGTTTTCTGCGATTGTGGGGACCAGGAAATTGCTCAGACTGGTAGGATTAATGTTTCCATTAAAGGATACAAGCTCCAACACATGCCACCAAACTTAAAGGCAAGCTTACATAAAACATTAAGAGTGCACTCTAAAACTTCTAAAAACTAAGAGAAAACTAAACACAGTTTAACTTACTTTATTTGGAACTGGGTATTTTTTGTGTTCATTATTCTCATTTGATTAATACAGAAACTTAAAACTAAATTTTTTTGTGTGTGAGTGCTTTTCTTTATCCAGTTGTACACTGAAAAAATTAGTGCTTTCCCACATATTGTTGTTTTGCCTTGGGAAACCTCTGTCGTGTGGCGGGGTGAGTACTCCTTCTTCTCTACAACATCTTTGTGAGATCTTCATTCCAGGAGAGGGCACTCACCAGCTGCGGAGCATTACCGATCAGCGGCAGCTGCAGATCCTCAAATCAACCGCAGCAGAGCTCTATTTAAGAGGAGAGGGAACCACTTCACATCGCTGGATGATTAACTACTCACGGTAGAATCTTGCCACTCAGTTCTTAGGTTTTGCTTGGTCTCTGCTCAGACATTCGTGCTGTCGCAGGTTTTGGATTTATCTGGTTTTTTGTGCTTGGATTCTGGTGTTTGGACTCAAGTTTGTTTCATCTTCAGGATACTTGGAATCGCTGAACCATTGTTGGATGTACCTACCTGGAAGTCACCATAACCCGCCTGGATTACAATTCTCAAGGTTCGCCTCTCCTCCTGCTCCACTTGCTCTCTGCCGCCATCATCTGGCTCCCTCTCCTGGAAACACCCCGTCACACCGTCTGCCCTCCCTGCTGGCTTCTGGACTCTTGCCGACTACTTCGGACTTGGATATCTCCAGGACACTTTTAGTTAGGTTTAATAAATCATTGTTTGAACTTTCTGCCTTGGTCCTGTGATGGTTCTTCATGTCATGGGTTAAACACCTTCCCAGGGACATGACAACCTCTGGAATCAAAGTTAAACTTCTAGACAGTTTCTATACATTGGAACGTCTCTTTCGCCACAACCGTGATTCGAGATTAAAGGGCACTTACACCCAATAGTTAACACCATATTATATCGAGTCGGGTGGTAAAAGGGTTACAGTAGGTTGACTTTTTTGTATTAAAAACATTTTTCTTTTATTGGTCAGATGAAATATGCTAATTTTTTGAGATAGGAATTTTGGGTTTTCATGAGCTGTACGCCAAAATCACCAATATTAGAAACAATCAAAGGCTTGAACTACTTCAGCTGTGTGTAATGAATCTAATATATATGAAAGTCTAATGTTTATCAGTACATTACAGACAATAATGAACTTTATCACAAAATGCAGTTTTTTTGAGAAGGACCTGTAATTATGTACGTAAAAATGTTTTTTTTTTTTTATTTTAACACGAGAACATGCCAGGCCCCCTAGACAGCCTGGATCGTAACAGTGGATTTAAAAAAAGGCTTGAAAAGGCACATTCAAGGAGACTGATGACTTACAGCTTTCCAAAATAACAACAGAGGAAAGAAATTGGACCAAATTTGTCCTTTAGATACATGAGATAGACATACATATATATTAAATGAAACCGGTTGTCAAGGTAACATACTGTGCCACAGCAAGCTCCAGTTCCTCAATTTTCTTCTCCAGAGATGTCTGCAGTTGGCTTTTATCCACAGAGTACTCCACAAAGAACGCCTCAAGGACAAACGCCACAAAGATACTGAGAAAAGATGGAGAGAGAGCAACAGAGAGCACGTGAACAATCCCAGAGGGCACTGGAATGATGGGTACGGGGGTTACCTTCAAAAGGTTTTTGCTCATCCATGAATGCACAGGTAGAACTGACTGGAATTCATAAATGGGCAACAAGTTTAGCATTTTTACAGCCCAACTCTGGGTCAGGGTCCTTGGATCTGTCTGGTGCAGAGAAGGTGGATCAAACTATTTACTCTAGAAATATGTGGACGTGATCTAACAAATGTGTTTTTATTCAAAGCTACTATAGCAAATCTGAAAACAAGCTAGGTTTTGAACATGAACACAGTCACGAAACACTCACCCCTTCACTCAGATATCTTCCTTGGATGTACACAAGTACGCATACTGAGAGACGGACACTTTAAATGGTGGTGGGGGGCGGGGGGGGGGGGGGGGCGGACTCTGGTAGTTTGTCCTAAAGCTGAAGAGGAAGCAGCGGCTGCTTCTCCTCATGATATTAATGAGTGGAGAACCTCTCACACCAGTGGTGTTCTGTTGCTACATACATGTGTGTAATGAGTGGAGGACCCAGGGAAGAGTGGCGAAACAGACAACCGGATGGTCCAGAAGGTGTTATTGGGCAGATTTCTAGATAAATGCAAGAGAACCACTTTATTCTTTTTTGTTTTTTAATCTACACGATATATTTATAGCTATACTTTGTAAGAATCAGTGCGTTTACATGCAGCCAGTAACCCTTTTAAAACCCAAATATTCACAATAACCCGGTTCCGCAGGTCCATGTAAACACCGCCAAAGGGTAACCCTTTTCTAACCCGAATGTTTGGTCGTGTAAATGCATACCGGGATATCCCCATCAAAGCGTGTGTTCTGCACATGCTCTGTTCGCAAGGAATCTTGGTCTTTTGAGTAGCGAGACGTCTTGTATGCGCCAGAACACCGGAAGTAAACAACAAGTTGGGAGCAACATGGCGAGTCGCGGCACAGCACCACATCTTTGGAGTGACGAGGAAACTAAAGCGCAAACAAACGCGGTCGCTATCTCTTCCGAACTGGGAAACATGTTGTTGTTTTCACGGATACCGGAACAAGAAGAACCGGAAATGAGGCATATTGCGTCTGGACGTAGTCCATACATCCTGACGCTACCCCAACGTCCGCATTTAAATCGGGTTATGCAAGTTAGGGGTAACTTTCTATTTATGCTTGTAAACGGGTTATTCTGATCAACTCAGAAACCCGAATACCGACCTTAACCCGATCATAACCCGGATATTGGCTGCATGTAAACGTAGTGACTGTTAAGAGGCATGAAAAAATGCTTAAAGCTTATTTGTTTTCCAAATTAGCTACAGCAGCTTTAATCGACACGTTTTTCACATGATACATATACGATGACACAGACTGCAGCTCCTGCTACGATGAGATGAGGACAAGAGGTCCACAGCAGGAGAATTAGGACTGGAGAATGAGCACTTCTACAAATTAAATCAAATCAAAGCTTCTTTTGTTTTGGTAAATGCTCAACATTCCCCTAAACACTTAGCCCGGCCTGCCCGACTCGTCCTCGGTTTAATTCTGCACCGAGAGAGAGAGTCTGGTAACTCACAGGCAGAGAGGCACATGAGGGGCGGGACTAGGCAGCTCAAAATTAACCAATCAGAAAATGGACGGAAATGCCGACTGTACAGCTGTAGTGTTTTAGTTGTAGTTAAAAAATGGCGTCTGGCGACAGCGCAAACATCCTTTTTTTTTTAGAAGAAAGGCTTTTAGAGCTTCTACTTGTTGTTTTAAAGACATTCAAGTCATTTAGAACAGTGGAAAGAGCCGCAGCGAACTCCGCCGCTGTCTTCATCGTTTATGAGAAACTGAGCGTCGCCGTGTGTGACGTCCACGACGCTGTAGCTTTTTAACTGTAGTGAAAAATGGCGTCTGGCGACGGCGCAAACTTCTTTCTTTAGAAGAAAGGCTTTTAGCGCTTCTACTTGTTGTGGTTTTAAAGACGTGTCCAAGTCATTCAGAACAGAGGAAAGAGCCGCAGCGACCTCCACTTGTCGCCGTGTTTATGACGAGCTTGGCGTTGTGGTGTGTGATGTAAGCTACTCAGCGCTGATTGGCTCGGTTCCTCAGGGGGTGGAGTTATTTAGGGGAGTTCCCAGACCCTTTTTCTGTGCAGAATTAAACAGAGGAGGAGTCTGGCAGGCCAGGCTACTCAACACTGCGATGGAGCAGGTGAAGTATAGCAAATATCTAAAAGTCACATGTCGCTGGTCTTACTTGATGATGACAATCACAACTACAATGTGAAAGAGGACAAAGAAGATCCTGGCTGACACGTGGGTGACACTGGCAAAACCATCGCTGAGCAGTGAGGAGTAATTAAGGAATCATAAACAAACTGTAGGAAAAAGTGACTGAAGAGGGTTTTTAAAGAGCAAGTCACCCCCCTACCAGATTCTTACTCTACTCCTACTTCCTGTTTGAAAAATGCAACAAATGCTGTTGCCTAGCAGACCGAGAGGGTGGAGCCGCAAACAAATACACACACTCACGACATTGTGACATCATAATGTACCATTTAACATCATAGGGTACCTCTTAGCCAATAGCGACGGCAGATTTAAATTCAAATGCAGTGCAGAGTTTTCACCTGACGACGGTGCAACACTGACAGTTTTAGGCAGAATATTTAAATTTTAACTAAGATGCACTAAAGTGCCGAGATATTGACTACACGTGTCTGCAGCACGGTCAGACACTCATTTATATAGTTTATCAGCAAAAAAAAAAGTTCATTTGGAGTGACTTGCTCTTTAAGGTTTCACAAGAATAATCTGAGGGTTGTCAGAACGTCTGAAAACTGACAGAAGTCATGAGGGACTAAATCCAGGAACAGCGAGCGTCTAGAGAAGGATATCATGCCACTGGTTGACCACAGTGAGCTCCACCAGCAGGATGAAGGACGACACCACGTTGTTGAAGTTGTTTTTGCAGTAGCCAAGTTGTGCAAAGGAGTGACCCTTCAACAGGGGGTTTCCACAGTAGGCGTGTTCTGGGTGTGTGGAGTTGTCAAAAAACTTCACTTTGTTCTTGAACAGTTCCATTCCCACTATGGCGAAGACGTAATACACCACCTCAGGAGGAGGAAGAGAAGGGCGTTAACTTTGGGTTTTAATTCTCGTCCACAGACCGTTCCATCAGATCAGAGAACCAGTTAGATCTTACTCAGTGTCATGGACGTAATTTTCACTTTAGAAGTGGGGGGGACACGGGGGGGGGGGGGGGGGGGGGGGTATCTTTACAGTATGCTCTAATAGGAAACAGGCTTCAACACAAACGGTTGTTTTCCGCTTGGTCCTAGAGCTCAACCAGTGTCAACTTAATATAAAGTAATATTGTTTTTGGATGGTAAAAAGTGCAGGGGTCATAACTTGACATTGGAAAAAGTGCGGGGGACATGTCCCCCCTGTCCCCCCCCAAAATTACGTCCATGCTCAGTGTTGTTATCACATCCAATTTGCTTTTTTCTTCAGATGTTACAAAAAGACTTTAATACTGCTGTTCCACTTAACAGAACTTGTTGCAACTATCTTACACTAAACTAAGAGAGGGAAAATGAAGTTGATGTTGCTGTGGTTTGTTCAGCACGACTGTGGGATTTTTAAAAGAAGCTGGTGTCCTTTCAGAGGTCTGGCTGCAAGAAAACCACAGCAACCTACTTACAACAATGAGCTGTCCAAATGTGAGAATCGCGGGTCCAATCCGGATCAACGTATTGATGATTATACGAAACCTAACAGAATGCAAACCTTTTTGTTAGTAATAACCCAAAACAGTGGGGCAAAAACATCCCAGAAACCAAGAGCCAGTCACACCTTTTGATGCTGTCCACCACCCGGATCAGTCTGAGGACTCGCAGGACAAAGACGATGTCCAGGATCTGGCGGCTGGTGTATCCCGCCGCTGCATCAGGACAAAATACTTTTTATTTTTACGTATAAAATGATGACTATGATGTCATTTGTCCTTCTGTCATTGACAAACAAGAACACAAAAGGCGCTCACACGACTTCAAGGCAGAGTTGATGATCGTGGCAATAAGAGCTGAGAGGACGATGAGGGTGTCAAACCTGGAAAAAAAGGATAGTACATTCAAAAGAAGACATTTTAAAGAGTTTATCATTTTGTATTCACATCACGTCGATTTGGAAACTACGACCAAACAATGAATGTCTTAAAAGAACTGAACACTGCCCGTTAGGTCACCCTGCAGCTAAAGCCGGGCGTACACTGTGTGACTTTTTCTCTCGTAGCACTCAGCTTCAGCTCAAACTGTACGACTTCCTCGCAGGGCGGATCTCACGAGTCGCGCGCTCACACTGCACGACCCAGTTCTCGGATGCGACCTGACTGCTCACGCTGTACGTCTGGTAGCAACACGTCAGACCTAAAAATAAGCTAAAAATAGCAGTTTTTACTCAACACGTCAGACTTTTTTGTCTTGTTTTGCCTATTGTCCTTCGGGAGTGCTGCAGGAGGACACACAGGGATTTATGGGGGTTGGATGAGGAAAACAAAATAAAGAAAGTGAATCTGTGTTTTGTGATCAGTTTAATTTGACATGAACACGACAAACACGCTTTCTTGACAATCTTTGTGAGTAAAAAAACGTGTAGAAACAAAAACGAACAGCGTGTGTTATTAGGGAAATAGCGGGCGAGTGGTGTTGATGCATGATTGCGCATGCGCCGTGAGCGGTTCTGATACTTTTTGAGTCGCAGCTGCTCGCAGCGCCGCTTCAACAGTGCGATACCCTCACGAGGGACGAGCGAAATATTAAACACTCCAGAAGTCCGTGCGAGCTCACGATTGCCGATCGGTAGCTGGTCACGTGGTGTTAATCGCCTCTCGTAACCCCCTGTACACTACACGACCGCTCGGCACAAAACTCGCCCCGATGTCGTGGATTCTCGCACGAGTGGAAAATCGGCTCAAAAAAGTGAAAAAGTCACACAGTGTACGCCCGGCTTAAAACAGAACAAATCTTTTATTTTCATTAATTGTTCTACATCAAAAGATCCAACAACAATAAAATAAGGGATTTTGTTTAAATACATGGGCCTCTGAGGGTGCAGACAGAGGGCCAACAGATAAAACAATAAGTGAACAGCAGAAAGAGGTGGAACCATAAACTAGTGGTTGGTGTTCTGGGTTAACCGTCCTAGGTTCAGCATCCAGTTCTGTTAATTCATTTGTGAAACTGTGCTGAGAGTAATTCTGGGTAAAAGTCGCCCCAATCGCGTGGCTCACACGCAGCAAGGTGCACAAGTAGAGAAAAGAGACACGGCAAAGTAACTAATAAAGACTTGCATTTAAAAACAGCTGCAGCTGCAGCAAAGTCCCAGTAGCCAGTTCATCTGATAAACTAAAGACACTGAAGCCACAAAGTTGAATATACAGTTCAAAGAAATAGTTCAGATCTTCATCAGGGGGCTGTGGAGCGATTAAGAACTAGTAATATCTTACCTGTTGTGGAAGTTTAACCTACTGAAGTGCTACAGGTCTGTTGCTAATGTCTGCAGAAAATAACTATAATAATTTATGTGCAAAACAACAAAAACTTCAATCATCAATCATTTCTGAATAATTGAAAATATAAAAATCAATCAAATCCATATTAATGCTCATTTCCCTTTGGCGCCTGCCGGTAGCATGCTGCTAACACAGCCACTAGATGGTGGTAGAGCGCATAAGTATTTTCCTAACCAACATGGTGCTTCTTTCTGTATTTTTCAAGCCTAGAAATTTAGAGGAACCGTAGTTGTAGCAGAAGATTTAGCTCTGCGGGTTGGTCTAGCCACTTTCCAGTGTAGCCTCAGCAGATCTATCATTGGCCCGAACAATTTTAGGTCCGGCCAATCACAGCACTCTTATGTTTGTAGCCGTGTTTGTAAAACCAGCTCAGTGGCCTAGTGGTAGAGTATCCGCCCTGACACTGGGAGATCAGGGTTCAGTTCCTGGTCGGGTCATACCAAAGACCTTGAAAAAAATGGGACCCAATGCCTCCCTGCTTGACACTCAGAAATAAGGTTGGATTGGGGGTTAAACCACCAAATGGTTCCCGAGCGCCGCCGTGCCTGCAGCTCACCGCTCCCTCAGGGGACGGGTCAAATGCAGAGAACAAATTTTGCACGCACATCAGTGTGTGTGACAACTAATGGGACTTAAGCCTGGTTTATGCTTCTCCGTCAGCTCCACAAGGGACAGACACGCACGGATTGACGGAAGCGTTTTGCTCTCATACTTCTCCGTCTCCTGGAGAGTGTTGCAAAGCAATTGCCCGGCAGGACCACAGAGGACGTAGCGCTGTTCTGTGGTATCCTGTCATGTATCGGTCCAAGATCGTGTGTTTATATTGTGTTTTTTGTGTATATAAGAGACTTTTAACACGGACATATTTGTCTCTCATTCTCCTCCACCTCTTCATGGGCTCGCCACCTCTAAACCCACGTTTCCTGTCATTTCCGTCCACAAAAAAAAAACGTTTGCTGCGCATCTTTTCACTCCTCCAGTCACGGGAGGATGAAACGTTCATATTTTTAGTTTTTTCGCCAGGTATTCTTCAAGCGTCTCCTTGTCTGCCGCTAGTTAAAACTCAGCTCTCTTTGCAATGGCGGCGCTGTAAACAACAGCGGCGTCCTGACCAATCACAAGCTTACGTAATCCGTTTCGTTCGACGGATGTTTAAAAAAGTGGGCTCGACTCCGTACGTACTTGCGTGCCTGCCGGAGCCCTACGCAAGGACGGATAATGGCGTTGCGTGTCTCCGCACAGACACAGACGGAGAAGCATAAATCAGGCTTTAAACTTGTGGATAGACTTTGGGCGGGCTCAGCACCTGAGCTGCAATGGAGTAAAACTACAAAGGTCGAGTCGCCTCCGCAACGGTACTCATCTGAAATACCGTTGGCATCCACTTTGGACTATGTAGACTTGGGCTTAAAATTTAATCAAATATATAAATAGAAATATAAAAAAATCCTAAATAAAAAGCCCCCAGCTGTTAGCTCATTAATCAGATCTGATGCATGCTGGATCTGGGCGCTGATGGATAGAATTGCTGGAATGGAATTTAGAGCGGGAACGTACTGCTAATATCGGAGATTTCGGATGCAGCCAGATATAATCCGATAGTGTTTTTGGGCCGATGTCCGATATCAATATCAGAACGGGACATCCTGAGTCATTTTACACAGATTTATTGTTCACATGAACTCTTAATCTAAAGACTCAGATCAGGAAAAACAATTCCTGGAGAATTTAGGAAAATTTTAGCTGGTGGATCTTAACACAATAGCTGCTGCTGAAACATGGTTGCAGATTATTACACACTGCTTTAGTGGCTGAAACTTTCATGAGTCATTCTGCTTTCTGAGGGTCCCGCCTTACTGGAAACGACAGTCTCATGCACAAGAATATATATAAGGAAGTAAAAGGACAACTTTTCAGTACAGCTGGAAGATGCGGCATGAGTACAGGGGTACGATAAACAAACTGAAGAATGAGTTTAAGTTTAGAGAATGACACAAACATTAGCCATCACAAAAATGATGCCACTTTGAATTAAACCCAGAATATTCTGAGAACTGATCAGATGAATTATAGTTCATCACAACGCTCCTCTTTGATATGGGCAGAGATTTAAAAGTGGGAAGACTTTGGAGGATGGTCTGGTGTCAAGAAGGGCAGTAAGAAGGCCAATTATCTCCGATCAAACCATCGAGAACAGACCGACGTTCTATTAAAGGTCCAGGGATCAGACTGCTAAGGACCGGATTGGAGCATCTGAAGAAAAAGTGAGCGCTCCCATTAGTCCTATGTCACCGGTACAGAAATGGGCCATTCCCATCTGTACTGGGTCGGCCCGGGCCCGGTAGCGTAGGTTGTTTACATATCTGGGTGGCCTGGTATTTTTCCGGGCCAACCAAGGCTCATTCTCAGCCCTCTTCTCGAGGGGGTCTGCTTCAGGCCGACCAGGGCCAACACACCCACTGCTGACAGCAAATTCACACCTTCCATTAGAGCAAGCCTCTGATTGGTGGGTAGAATCAGCCCACATGGGCTTAAGAGAAGGATGTGTGGAATCAACCGGGCCAGGCTGGGGCCGACTGGGGCTACCCGGTACAGATGGGAATGGCCCTTTAGTCCCATTCATCATCACACACTGGTGACTTCACATCTCAGGTGTAGGTGGACTGCAGAGTCTTGCCCTGAAGGGGTGGCTCTCCTGGGTTGTACCACGCGTTTGGGGAAACTAAACAACAATTACACAAAGTAAAGGTCTGGACAGTCCTCACCACATTGGACTGCATAAACGGCGCCACTAAGACAAAACACCCAAACAGAAGCTCGGTGATGTCGTTTATGCAGTCCAATGTAGTGAGGACTGTCCAGGGGTCTCATTTATCAAACGTTGTGTAGAATCCTTACTAAAACGTACTTAAGCTCAGCAAAAAAAAATGCTTACGCCAAGCAGGTTTGTGACTATCAAACATGGAGTACGCACAGCTGCACGCAATCTCCGCTTCATAAATCAGAAACTATCTACAAAGGTTTTCAGCTGCTTTTTAGTCACATCCCGCCCTCACCACGCCCACTTACTGCCATAAATAGTCAATGCAATGTGCCTTGTGGATCTCACGCATATACATAAGCCGGCTGTTGCAGCGCTCCGCCAATGACATGGAGACCGTAGATCAAAGCAGATCAAGGAAGCGCTATTTCACAGAAGCAGAAATTGAGGTACTTGTGGGTGAGATGGAGAAATGAAAGGAAGTGCTTTTACAAAACAAATAAGAGAAAATCCACGGAGTGGCACAGCGTTGCTGAAGCCGTCAATGCTGAGTTCTTCAGAGAGATCTGTGGCGGATATAAAAAAATGATCCAATCAGGAGTTCATCTCCAGACTCCCGGGTGAAAGTCACGTGCGCTAACCAGTCAGCCAAACAGGCATCTCTCTTGTCCAAGTAGCCAGGGCGCATGATCAATCGTGTCACAGTGACAGGACACACACACTGTCACAGACGCATGACGTTCTGTCTTAATCTGTCCCGCACTGATATTCTGCATT